AAAGAAAGAAAGAAAGAAAGAAAGAAAGAAAGAAAGAAAGAAAGAAAATTAAAATGGATCAAACAGAAGTTAATGACTCTATGGGACAGCAAGAAATTATAAAACTAAATGAAAAGATTGAAAAAATAGAACAAAATGTAAGATACTTTCTGTCAAAAACAACTATGCTAGAAAATAGATTAAAGAGATATAATTTAGAATTATTAGACTACTTGAAATCCATGACCAACAAAAGAGCATAAATATCATCTTCTTTCAAGAAATTGTGAAAGAAAACTAATCAGTGGGGGGTAAAGTGAACTTTTCATGAAATAGAACATTTCAAGCATCCTTGCTGAAAAGACTAGAGCTTAGAAGAAACTTTGAAAGGCAAATCCATGAATTAAGAGAAATATTTAAAAGGCAAATGTAAATGAGCAATCAAGAAAGAAATGTTTATATTCTAATGTAGCTACATGTATCTAAAGCATACCCTAAGAACTGTGATGTATGCAAAGGTCATAGAAGGAGCTAAATATAAAGATGGACTGGAAGTGATTTTTGTTTTATTTTTTTTTATTTTAAAAGAAGAAAGGAAAAGAAGGGGAGGGAAAGAGAAAATTTATTTCATATAATGAGAGGGGATGCAAGTAGAAGTCTATACAAATGAGGAAGGATGGGAGAAGTCAACCATTATTCCAGAGGACGGATCATTTAATACTGCACATCTCCTAACAAAGAGGTAATGGGCTAGATATGCAGGGAGAGACATATATTTTTGGAGAAAGCGCTCTTTCTTCCTCATCTTCCCTCTGGAAGATTTTTCTTAGTTAAAAAAAATAACTCTTAATTGTCTCTCCACCTTAGTTTGGGAATTTTTTATATTTCTTCAATTTCTGATTCCATTATATATAATATACTGCCATAAAAAATCCAGAATAACTAATAAGCATACATGGAACCAAAATGCAAAATATTCCTGAGCTCATGTTCTCTAATATCCAGCTTTCCATTGTTGAATTTTAAAACTTGCTATTAGGAGCCATTTCATTTTAACCATTTTTTAATCTTCACAATAATTCTATGAAGTAGACTTGACAGATTCAATTAAATTAAATGCAATAAATATATAATCAACATCTATGATGTTCAAATTACTGTTTTAAGCCTGAATTTTCAAAGATGAACTGCTACTCATTGGTACAAACTATATATAGTTAGAAAGCATAAGCATTTTCTGAAAAGACTTTGTTTTTGATCAGTAAGAAAACTCAAAAGTTGATGACATACTACTTGGGCAGTATTTATGCTCTAACAAAGAAGAAAAATAAAATAAAATTTAAAGCCCAACAGGATCTTTAGGGTATTGGAGGGTGGAATGTCAAATATATTCCAACTGAAACTGAAAGATGTAATTTCAGTGATTGATAAAGACTTCTTCATGGTCATAAAATTTGGGATGACAACAATATTTTTATCAGTGACACTTGTATACTCTTCTTAGAACTTAAAGAATTGGCAAAATCACCAATAATGGTTTATAATAAATTCATAAGTAAAGAAGCAATGGTCACTAAAATTAAATTCTACTCAACATAACCTATGGAGAGGGTGAGACAGTGACATTCAAATAGGAGACAGAAGAGTATCTGAACAACGAGAGAGAATAGGGAAGGAGACTTGAAGAGTAGAATAAAAAAATGTGAGATTATGTCAAAAGACACAGATTTGATTTCCATCTCCTTTACTTACTAGCTCTATGGTCATCAGAAACCTCACTAAACCTCACCTGTAGATTATGATAATAAATCTTGCCTTGTCTGCCAAACAAGGTTTTTATGAGGATAAAAGGACATAATAGATGTAAGACTGCTTCATAAGTTGCAAGTCACTGTGCAAATATGAAGTTTTATTATTATTAATTTTATTATTATTATTTAATTATTATTAATCATTATTATGTGAACTCTAATGGGAAAACTGCCAGGTTGGTAGGACAAAATCTTCAAAGGCATAATCATGTGCAATTTGTATCACAGTA